GATCCTCGGCACCACATAAAAATAAAATGAAGATGTTGTGTCCACTGAAAACTGAAAAATAAATATTAAAAAATTCTCTCTCTCTCTCTCTCTCTCTCTCTCTCAAAAAAAAAATAGTATAGTTACATTTTCATTGTTAAAAATTCTAACTTACAGCCATGTACAGTGGTGCACACCTGTGATCCTTGCTGTTCCAGAGGCAGAGACAGGAGGATTGCAAACTTGAGGACAGCTTTAGCAATTTAGCCAGACCTTATGTCTTGGGATGTGACTCATTAGTAAAGTTCCTCTGGGTTTAATCTCTGGTCCCAAACCAAAGAAAAAGAACAGAATAGAAAAACAAACAAATAAACAAACAAAACATCTAATTTACTTTTTGCTCCCCCTGAGTATGCATAGAAAATTGGTGAGATTTGATCTTGTCTTTTCAATGATTTCCAATTGAAATCCATGTCCTAGATTCTGGAATGCCACTTAAGATACAGAGAAATTCTGTCTACCATTATTGCTGCAGAAAATGAATTCATTTCTACAAAAATTGCAGTGGATAAACTTATGAATGTGATTTTATGTAAACTAGTTACAGTCTTTCACAAGGTGATGAATTTGACAGGGGATGACAGTTTGTTGTTGCTGTTGTTGTCTGGACTTGGCAGGTTCATGTTAGCTGTGTGGTTTTTTGGTATCAGGAATGGAACCCAGAGGTGCTTAGGCACTGAGCCACATCCCTGGCCCCTTTTAGATTCTTTCTTTTGAGTCAGGGTCTTGCTACATCGTCTTGGGCTTCTGACCCCCCTTAACTGCTGGGGTTACAGGTGTGCACCATCACACCCATCTTCATTGGATGTTTTAAGGACAATTTTGGCAATACCTAAAATACCCAACTGTGATCATTTAAAAATCACTGTATACTTTATCAGTGAAATAACAAATGACACCTGTTTTCTGAAAAGGAGAGATATATATGTCTAAGTAAGGTTGCTGATCCCCTTCATGAGCACTCCCACCTTGTCACCTGATTCCTGTTCCCTCCTAAATGCCTCCTCTTAGGGCCCCCTTTGGGAGCTGGCCTTTTAGCTTATGAAACTTGGGAGTAACATAAATGCTCTCTGTACTCTCTCTCTGTTCTGTACAATATTTTCTCTGGTCTTAGATACAGTGTACTATTTTCATTTTAGATATAGTTTTCCTTAAGTTCACCCCAAAAAAACCCCACAATAATCCATGCCTTGAATTTCACATAATTTCTTGAAATGCTCTTTGTTTTTCCAAGAGTGTAGATTATGGGAAAGTTCAGTCTCCTTTGTAAGAAAGGAGAATTTCCATTGAATTTTTTGCCTCTCATTGTGTATCTTTTGTATTATAATCTTTTATCACTCATTACATATATTTTCAGTTTTTTTCTTTTCTTTTTTAATGGGTATATGTGTGTATTGTTTCTTTCTGGTTTAACTATCAGTTGGAACCCAGGAAGCTGAGAGCCCTGGGTCAGCATCTAGGGATATGGTGTTTACCAGGCAGGAGCAGGTGGGCTGGTGGCTTCTCTTGAAAATGTTGGTGCCTCTGAACCACTGATAAAGAAAGAACACAAGGGAGGGGGGCCCTTCCTGAGAGGTCAATTCCAGTCAGCCTGTGCAATGGGGTGAAGTGTGTCAAGGGGAAACGTGACCATGAGCTCCCAGACATTTTATGAGACCCACAGATGCCTGAAGCCACAGATGACACCAAGCTTACATACAGTTTTCCCTCTACACACATGCCTATGACTGTTTACCCTTTCTATAAAACCTGAGAGTCCTAGACAGCCCCTGAAGAGATGGCTAAGAACATGGTGCCCTTGTCTTCCTGGGGTAGCTTCACTGATCAAAGTTCCTTTCCTGCTTTTCATCATGACCTTTTCTGTTTGGATTTGGGGTAAACAGATGACCTGATGTGTGGGATCACCAGAGTCAGGTCACTTCCTAGAACTCCCTAAGAGTGGAATGTAGAACATGGACATTAAGTACAAGGTGCTCATTCTATTTCAACCCCACATTGCTGCCTTAGGGAATTGACTCCCCCCCCCCCCAATTCTGCTGGGGAGAGAACACTGAGCCAAATCACCAACACCAATTGCTTCCTTTCTTAGTTCAGGCTATCTCCTCAAAAGATCAGTGGACAGAAGGTGATGAGAATTACTGAAATAATTGTCAAACTGTTTTTATTTTTAGATATCATATATGTGTGATATATGTGATATCTTTAAATATTGTTTCAAAAATTTTGAGACTATGGCCTGAGGTCGCACCAGGTGATACTATATATGTATATGGGTATCTTTTTCTTTGAGGTTCTGTGGAATAATCCCTGAGGGGCTTGACCTCTCAGGTACATCCCCAACCCTCTTTAATTAATTTTTAGCTAGGATCTCCCTGTTTGTGAAGCCAGATTTAAAAAGAATTTATGTAGCTAGGTTAATGTGGTCCAACTGGAACCATAAAGAAAATGGAGTGTAATCTGAGCCTGGGAAAACCAGAAAAACAGCTGAGAAATTGAAATATTAATGTCCCATGACCCTGGGGAGGTCCTAAATAAGGGTTAATGAAGTAGCTCCCAGTAAAACAGGGAGATGCTAATCAAACCACCCTAGGCTGTTCCTGCCCAGGTTTCTGCTCCCTGCCCCACCAGTCCACCAGTTTCCCACCCTTTGGCCTTCCACCTGCAGCCCCCATCACATGCACAATAAAGAGAAATAAAGGACAGGAATGTGGGAGGACAAAAGATGACCTTAGATGTAAAAGGGAGAAGACCTCCCTTTTCCAGGGATTTCTCCCTTCCAGTCCCCTTCCTCCTGGGGGGTGGGTGTGAATCTTTTCTGCTCTCCCTTAATTAAGCCTTGCACTTTCCACTCTCCACGTGCTTCTCTGGTGTTATACTTCAGCATTTGGGGAAGCAAGGACCTGTCACAGTAAACACAGGTAACACCGTAGATCCTGACCTGAACCTTGGGATCCTCCTGCCTCAGACTCCCCAAGTACCTTCTTTTGTTAATAGTTCTTTGTTTCTGTGGTGGAGTTAACACACAGGGCATCACCCATGCTGGGAAAGCAGTCTTCCGAAGCCATAGGTCAATCCCATCCTTACCAAGTTCCAAGCAAAGGCTTCTAAGTTGGATATTTTTTCCAGCCCAGCAAAGACACTCCACCTGAAAAGGGCTGGGACCAAGGATCTGTCACTCTAGGGAATTTTAGGTAGTGATTGCATAACCTTAGCTGTCAGTCACAATGCAGAGGTGTTCCTGGAGGCAGCCCATTAGGGATGCTGGGGTGGAATTGTCCAATCAGGTTTCTGAACACAGGGGAAGGGTGGGCTTTTGTAATCTCGTGGGCTTTTCTTCCTCACCAACTCAGCTCTTCCCTTTCCTGGCCCTATGTGCTCTTCCCAAAAGGCCTAGGTGATTCTGAGCAGCCTGTGTCTCTGAGATCTCTCATGCTCAGAGGTTCCTAAGAGAACTCCAGGTCCCCAAGGAAGACAAAAATGGTAAGTTTGTGTCCAGGGCTGGAGGTACAGGGTCAGCACCTGCCTTGGGGCCCTGCAAACAGGTGAGCTGCAGAGCCTGGCCGAGTCTCCTCTGGAGGTTGCCCTGGGTCTCTGTCCCCTTGTCCTGGGGGTTGGGCTGGATGGTAGAAACTTGAAGTCACCTCCCTGGTGACTGACCCTAAGCCTCTGCCACTGGTCCGCGGGGTGAGGTGGGTGTTGGGTGCCGGAAATTGGTGCAGAGGGTGTGGTCTAGTCCTCTGTGGGGTATGGCCCTGAGCTTCTGCTCCCTGGGCCTGAGGGGTGGGCTGATCCCTGACCTCAGCTGTGGAGCAGGAGGCCCAATTCTCGCTGGTAGATGGCCTTGGGCTCCGTTCAGTGGCTTCCATTGTTGAATGGGCGGCTCAGGTCTCCAGCTTCCCCTCCCCTCCCTGCTGGTGGCCCGCACCCACTCTTCCAAATGTGTAGGAAGCAGGATCCCAAATCCACTTTCCTTCCCCCAATTTAGTTTCTCCGAAGGCTGCTGTAGGTCTTTCAAATTGCAGTTGCCTCCTGCGTTCTAAAATGCCATCTTCCTCTCCACTTCCCATCACTCTCAAATGTCTGTTTTTCTTTCTGTGTTTCAAATGAACAGTCTATTAGTTTTCACTTTTCCTCTAGTGAAGTATTGCAAGGAATATTTTCTCTTTGTATTGGGGATCAAAACTAGAGAAGGTTTATCAGTGAAATCCTCAGGAACCCCCCCCCCTTTTAAATAGATCCTTTACCACTTGTTTTAGACACTGCCCTCCAACTTGTGATCATCCTGCCTGAGCCTCCTGAGTCGCTGGGATTACAGGCCTGTGCCACTATTTCTGGCAAGAATAACACTCTTGTTTTGTTTCTGAATATCATACTTGAGGGGAAAGAATAGTCTTGGCACATCTTGTGTTCGGGTAAATAGCTGCTTTAAATGAAATAAGGCAGTGGGTTATTGGTACTAGGGATATTGAATCTTGGTGTACATCCCCAGCCCTTATTTGTTTGATTGTTTGTTTTGTTGATTTTGGCAGAAGTTATTTATTTATTTTACTTGGTTTTTACTACTTATACAATGCAGTAAAATGCATTTTGACACATCATATATAAATAGACTGTAACTTCTCCTTTTTCTGGTTGTACCTAATGTCCATTCATACCAGTCATATTGTCATTATGAAAATAGGATAATAATGTCTGATTTATCCTCTTGCCCTTTATCCCCAACCCTTTTAAATTTTATTTTCAGACAGGATCTGGCTATGTTGTCCAGCCTCACCTGGAACTTCTGATCCTCCTGCCTCAGCTTGTCAAGCTGTTGGAATTAAAGGCACTGGCCATTGTACCTGAAAAAAATAGTTTATTTTGACACAAATATTAATGACCATCCTCATGAACATGGATTTAACTTATCCTGAATGATGTATGTATCCTACTCTGGAAGAGATTACATTTTTTTTTTTTTATACCAGGGATTGAACCAAGGGGTAATGAAACACTGAGCCATATCCACATCCATTTTTATATTTTCTTTTGATATGTGATCTCACCTAAGTTCCTTAGGGCCTCACTAAGTCACTGAGGCTGGCTTTGAATTTAGCAGTCCTCCTGACCCAGTCTCTCAAACTGCTGGGATTACAGTTGTGCCCCACTGTGCATGACTGACAAGAACATTTGTAAAAGAAAGTTATGCCTGAATACATTAACCAAGTGCATTGGTAGGATCATCAGATGGGTGGCTACAGTGAAAAGGGGGAAATGTCTTCTGTAGGTCCGTTATTACATTGTTAGCTTTGGGAGATGGTGGTTATATGTTGGGTAAGGTTAGTAGTATATTCTTAGAAGTTCATTTGTTTGGAGAATTTTGGACTAATACAGAAATTAAGGTAATTGGCTTTGAAAGAGCTTAAGAGAGCCCAAGATAATTTGTGCCAACCGTACAGAACCCTGTCTTATACCCTCATAGTGGTCTAGTTCCCCAAAGTCAAGTGGTCTGAAGGTTCATTGATACAGAGCAAGTTCATAGAGAACTTCAGTTCACACCTGCGAAAATCTTGTGCTTCTTGTTTATCTTTTTTAGGTATTGACACCAAATCTGATTTTCTCAGCCAGGTTTTCTTTGGACACCTCAGAGAGTCCTATATTCACAGCCACTATCCTTTCCTCGGGCTGCCACCATGTGCCTGCAGCTGTCCTGTGCCCTGCATGGTACAAGGAATTTTAGGCCCTGAGTCAGCTCTTCTTAGAGGACACCCTAAGGTGTGAGGTACAGCCTCTTGGGGAATCAGATGTGGGCTTGGGCCTAAGGAGTGTCCTGGAACAAGCTTCATCTAGACAACTAACTTCTTAGGATCTTGTTTTCCCCAAGCCCTGTTCCCATTCCTTGGAGACAGGTGGCCAGTCAGCCTGTGGATGCTGGTGCTGAGGGGCCAGGTCACCAGTGATTCCTGACCCTTGCATTCTCTCACAGTGTGAAAGAGCAAAAACTCACAGAGGATAAAATCCAAACACCCCAATGCAGTGCTGTGCAAACCTGAAAAGCCTCATAGTCTGGAGTCATGGTCCAGGTCTCCCGGGAGAGTGACCATGGAATGTTTCAGTGGGCATGACCAGATGTGAGAATGTCCCAGCTGGCAGGGATCTTTCCTGACCCTTGAGCCTAATAGGTTTGCTCCCTCAGCATCAGCCATTTCTGCGTTTGTCAGTTTGAAATGATCTGCTCACTTATCTCAGGCCCAAGATTATTTATTCAAAACCAAATGATGAAATATTATGAAAGAGGGAAGAAAGAAGTAGATTTATGAAAAGTACATACATTTCTATTTATTAAGAATCCAGATTTATGGCAAGTTGCAGTAGTGCACACCTGAACTTCTTGCTGCTTCAGAGGCTGAGGCAGGAGGAGGATTTCAAGTTTGAGGACAGCTTTACCAACTTATGGAGACTTTATACAACTTGGTGAGACTTCAAAGACTGGGATGTATTTCAGTGGTAAACTGCCTCTGGGTTCAGTCACAGGTATTAAAAAAAGTGCCTTGTCCTTGGGCCACCCCTTTGGGAGCTGGACTGTTAGCTTATGAAATTTGGGAGTTACATAAATACTCTGTCTACAGTCATTGTGATCTGTACAGGATTTTGACTAATCTTAGATATGGTCTGGTATTTCCATTTTCAGAAGTAGTTTCTCTTAACTTCACCAAAAAGCACAGCACATCTGGCCCTGGATTTCACAGCATGCTCAGGGTTTTTTTTTCAGAGATTGCAGATCATGGGGAAGTTCAGTCTCTTTAATCTGCTTGGTAAGAAATCATATTGTGTTTCTATTGATTTTATTGTATTTTATGCTTCTCATTTGTACCTTTTCTATAATAATCATTTTTGTCATTCATGAGATGTATTTTAGTATAGTTTCTTTGTGGGTGTGAGAGTGTGTGTGTTTGTGGTCTTCTTCACATTGAACCCAGGACCTCATGCATGGTTATCAAATGCTCTACTCTTGCTTACTCCCCAGCCCAAGACAATGGACTATCATTGATTTATTTACTTATGTATTGAGTGCTGGGATTTAATCCAGGGACTTGCTCATTCTTGTTATCCTTCAAAAAACAGTTTCAAGTTTGTGAAAGCATTTTCTTGGTGGGTGGGTGTTTCTCTAGGGATTAAACCCAGAGGCATTTGACCATTGAGCACATCCCCAGTGTTTTTTATTTCTGTTTATTTATATATTTTAAATTTTGTTTTAGTAGTAGATGTACAGATTACCTAATTTTGCTGATTTTTTTTTTTGTAGTTCTAATTTTCAAACCAAGTATCTCACACATGCTACTCATGTGCTCTTTCACTGAGTGACAGCCTCTTTCCCCCATTTTCATTCTTGATTAAGAGCAAGTCTCACTATATTTCTGATGACTTTGCTATGTTGCTGAGACTGGCTTCAGTGTTGTCATCTTCTGGCCCTGACCCCCCTAATTACTAAAATTTGAAGTGCACACCACCACACCAGGAGTTATAGTGACTTTTAAAGATAAGTCACCCATTAATCTCTAAAAGGAAACAGTATTGAAAATAAGTTTCCCTGCTTTTCTTTATGGTTTTGATATTTGCATACATAACTCTTCCTGTTTCCTTTACTCTTGCATTATTATGGACAAGATATTCAGCATATAATATTGTTTCTCATGTATATATTTATGAATATTCCACAGTGTGGTAGTTAATGCACTTCTTTATTAAATAAAGTTCATTTCTTAGAGCAAATGTAGGCTTATATAGTATATTAGTGTTCTCTAGATGAAAGGAATTGAGAGGAAGTATAATTACAAAAGGGATATTTATTAGATTGTGTTACATGACCAGAAGCTGGGTCATCTGCAGACTTGAGAGCTAGAGAAGTAGCAGATGTGCAGTCCAAGATACTGAAGGCGCAGTACAAGAGGGATTGATGGTGCTACCCTAGCCTGTGATCCAGTGCTTTTGGAAATTCCCTGGAGAATCCCTGGCAGAATCTGCTTTGAAAGAGTGAAGAAGGGAACTTTGATATTTTCAGGTGATCACAGCAGCAATGGAAGAGCCATTTGAGAAGAATCCAGCTTGCTCTGATGCTCCTGCCTTGTTCTTCCAACTTTTATTCCATCCAAGCCAGTGTCCTATTTCTCCACTTTGCTATCTCACATGCCAATCCCTCCTAGACACACCCTCAAGGACATACCCAGAAGCCTATTAAACATCCATATCTCCTAATCTAATCAAGGTGACAGTTTTTTTTTTTTAAGATGGATCTTGTTCTCAGTGCTGCATATTATGTTTACTATTTTTATTATTTTTTTTTAAAGAGAGAGAGAGAGGAGATAATTTTTTAATATTTATTTTTTAGTTCTCGGCGGACACAACATCTTTGTTTGTATGTGGTGCTGAGGATCGAACCCGGGCCGCACGGATGCCAGGCGAGCGCACTACCACTTGAGCCACATCCCTAGCCCCTCAAGGTGACAGTTTAAGTGAGCAATTAAACATAGTATCATACACCTCCCTGCAGCTCATAGCCTCCATTATTTTCAACATCTTGGACTTGGCATATAGTTCTTTTTAGTTATTTTTTGATTCAGTTGAATAATGTTGTGGAGGTATTTTGCATTTATGATCATGGGAGTAATTCATAGCTTCCTCATAATTTTGATAATATTGTAGCATATGCCTCAAAAGAAATTAGAAAGTGTTTACTCTGTTTCTGCATTCTAGAAAAAAATATAAAATTGGTGGCTGTTCTGGAGTGTGTGTGTCAGCCTGTATGATTTCTAAGAGCCATACCTTTCACTTTTTTGATGGGATTACTTATTGAGTCATTTTCTTCAGTAGGCAAGGGCTCATGTGTTTTGTGTATTTGTCTCTCTGTGTAAGTTGTAGAAGGTGGTCTCTCTCAAATTATTGGACCAGTTCCTCTAAGTTATCAGATTTGTGTGAAGCACATGTTCATGATATTGTTGAAGAGCCCATGGATGGTAACACTGGCTAGTTTAATCCTAATGTGTAGTTTTTTGTCCTTGGTTTTCTTATTTGTTTATTGTTATTGTATTTCTCATACCTTTGTTATATTTATTTACTTTGATGTGGTGGAAAGGATTGAAACCACTGACTCACTGGTGCTAGGCAAGCTCTCTACACTGAGCCATAACCTCACTCCTGTCCTCTGTTTCCTTAGCCACATATTAGTTTGTCAGTGATGCTGATGTTCATGAAGAACTTGGTTTTGCAGACTGCTGATTTCTTGATTGTGGTTTCACCAACACCCTCTGTTTCCTGCCTGTGCTTAATTTACACTTACCTTGCTCTTCGTTCTCTGCTTTCCTTAAATGCCAGGTTCAATGGTTGCTTTTATCTCTTCTTTTCTGGAATGTGCTTTGGATGCTGCAGAGACCCCAGTGCACCATCCATGCTTTTTTTCCCATGTTGGACTCGTACATTTTATTTTTCTCAACATGGTCAAGTTTGCCCCTTAGTCACCTCTTCCTCCTGTGTCTGTTTAGAGTCCTGTGTTGCATCTCCCACTTCTTAGTGGTTTTCCAGCTGCTTCTGATGTCATTTCTGAACTTTCATCTTCTTTGAGCATACTTGGGATTTCACTTGCATTGCACACTTGTTGAGGTGAGGTTTATGGCTCAGAATGGGGCAGGTTCTGGGGAGTTTTACTGTGATTCTGAGAAGGCTGTGTTTTTCACTGTTGACTAATGTCCAGTGAAGCCCTCCTGTCTGTTGCTCCGCTACATGGTCACAGACTGACTGAGTTGTGGTGATGTCTCCAAATGTAGCAGTATATTCTTCATTGTCCTGGGAACTTTTGTATGTCTCTGCCTGATGTATTTTGGTTTTGTTTTAGGTGCATGCATACTAATAATTAAGACACTTAAAAAAAGTTTAGCCTAGGGCCACCACAGTGGCATATCCCTTTGATCCCATCAGCTCAGGACTCTTAGGCTGGAGGATCCCAAGTTAAAAGGTATCCTCAACAACTTAGGTGCTGAACTACTTAGAGAGTTCCTCTGTCAAAATAGAAATAATTAAAATAGGGCAGTCGATGTGGCTTATTTTTTAAGCAACCTTTGGTTCAATCCTTGGTACAAAATATAAACAAATAAATGAATAGGAGATTTAGCCCAGGGATTCTGGAGTCTTATCTTACTCAAGAATGGTCAATTTCATATGTTTTATTTTCCATTCATGAGTTATGTTTTCCTGTATGTCAGTATTCTTTGTACTTTTTTTTTTGATAAGCGAATGAAAGTGTGTTTCTTGGGGCTGGGGTTCTGGCTCAGTGGTAGAGCGTTTGCCTAGCATGCATGAGGCACTGGGTTGGATTCTCAGCACCATATACAAATAAATAAAGTTCCATTAACAACTTAAAAAAATGTGTTTCTTTCTTTTCTCCTATAATGTGGGTCCTGCTTGTTGAAGGCTTCATGCCTTTGTATAGAGACTATGTCTATGAGCTATGTTTAGTAAATATTTTGTGTTCAGCTCTTTTGAAAGATTTCCCTGAATGCTAGGGTCATTGAACAGAATGGAAACTTTACCAGTTTCAGAGATGGCAGGCTCTGGATTTGCAGACTGACACCCAGGAGCTGTGCTCTCTAACATTTCACCATGCAGGCTAGCAGCAGCTTCAGGTACCTGTAATGCAGTAGCACATGCAGCCAACAAAGTAGCAGGGAAAGAACAATCCCTCTTCAGGTTGAGCATAGTAAAAGTCCCTAATATGTCTGAGCTGAGTCTTTAGGCCATTGACAAGCTTATTTTCACATAAGAAATATAAAATTCTCCCTCCAATGTATTGCCCCAGCTCCCTTGCCTGGATGTCCTCAAAAGTTTTTATGTATAAAAGTAAAAGTCCTGCTGTACTCAGGGCTCAGGCTTTGGAAATTTTTTTTCTGGGCTGTGGTGCCACCAATAAAGTATTGCTGCTAGATCTCAGTGTCCCCTGGCCTCATTTCTCCATACACCAGAAACTAGAGAAGAAGAGTAGAAACAGCAAATCCTCACTTGTCTGGTTTTTGTGGGTAGTTGTGCTGGGTCCTCTGCTTTAACACACAGTGGTGCTGTCTAAAGCTCTGCTGTGCCTTTGCTCTGCAGAACCCAGCCTGTGAGCAACCACTGCTGAGCATGAGTGTCATAGACCTCTCTGAATTGTTTCCTCCTAGTCTGTGAGCTTCCTTCTTTCCTCAGAAATCTCAGTGGTTTTATTTGGGGGAGCATACTGTGCAGTGAACCCTCAGGTGCTTAACCACTGAACAAAATCCCCAGCACCTTTCCCCTTAACTTTTTTTGTTAACTTTGATTCAGGCTTTTGCCAACTTCCTAAAGGCCTAAATAAGTGCTAAGACTGGCATTGAACTTGCCAGCCTCCTGCCTCAGCCTCCTGAACCTGGGTGTTTTTGAAACCTGGTTTCTAAAAGAAACTCTCTGAAGATTTCTTGATCAAATTTTAGGTGGTGGTTGTGGGTAGACAATAATTTGCTGTTCTTGCCAGACACAGGTTGTTTGTTTACTTGAATCCTTCTAATGAATTCCTGCTGATTTTTCACAGTGATCACTTCTGACGTAGATGAGTGAGAGTTGGTGTTAAGACATTAAGATATTTCCATGGTGATATTAGTAGGAATTGCCTAAACTTGGATAAGATGTGCTGCATGTGGTCTGGAGCCAGTGACCAGGCTCTCACACTGAGATTTCAGGCCAGTGTCCTGCATCAGAGAGGGTCAGTCTGAAGGGCTAGTGAAGGTCACACCATGCTTGCTGCTCTGCATTCTTCTATGTCTGCTTCATGTAGCTGTTGGGAACCTTTCAGGGCTTTGGGGCATGATGACATTGTTCTGATGGTTCTGCTTGTGTTTCCATTTCTGTTCTACTTCATGGCAGTACTGAGATGGTTCCAGGCTCCCAGTTGTCATTTTGCTATGAGTTTTTAATTTTTCCCTTATTCTCATCAGTATAGAATTGTATAACTTGCTCTTTTGCAAAACTAAGTTTCCACAGGTGCAATGGTGCATGACTGTATTCTCCTTAGCTGGGGAGGCTGTGGCAGGAGAATCATAAATTTCAATGCTGGCCTCAGCCTCTCACAAGGTCCTGAGCAAGTTATTGAGTACTGTGTCAAAATGGCATATGTGGTGGGGATGTGGCTCAGTCATTAAGTGCCCTATGTTCAATCCCTACTTATTTTTCTCTAAATATTTCTAACCACAAATAAATAAATATCATGAAATTTCTTGTGAGCTCATTAAAAGTATTTTAGTGTTTCACATTTGATTGTATACTAAATGGATTTTTGTCTACAAAATTGAGGATGTAGTGCCTTTGGCCACCTGGATTTCAGTTTGCCTGGATCATTATGTGATCTGTATCCAAGACACCTGTTTTCACTCATCTTTCCCTCCTGTGAAGGCTGAGAGCACTCTAAGGTAATTGTGCTCACAAGAGAAATTCTTAAGGGAGTCTGAGAATGGCATATAATTTTTAAAACAGATCAACCAAAGAAGTATGCACAATTTGAGAAGTATTTATTCTTATAATATTTTTCCCAGAAATATATACTTAGCTGTAACAGATATTCAGTCTTTTCAAAGTACTTGACATGCCAAAAATATATGAAATTGCATGTGAATATCACTATTTGGATAATCACCATAGAGAGGCTGCATTGCAAAGGATTGTTTCCTTTCAATCTCTTGATTTTCAGGCAATTTGAACATATCAGGAAACCTAGCCTTTACCTGATGTTGGTAGTAATGTAAGCCTAGGACCTACAAATAAGTATAAAATCATGAATGAATCAAGCATTGATAATGTGCTGGTCATTCTTCAAAGAAGCCATATGGTAAACTTCAACGGCCAAGAAGATAGTGTGGGGAAAGTTTCAATGTGATCCCAGTTCTTTACTGGACAAAGAAAACTTTTAATAGAGTAAATCCAGGCTGGGGATGTGGCTCAAGCAGTAGTGCACTCACCTGGCATGCGTGCAGCCTGGGTTCGATCCTCAGCACCACATAAAAACAAAGACCTTGTGTCCGCCGAAAACTAAAAAATAAATATTAAAAATTCTCTCTCTCTCTCTCTCTCAAAAAAGAAAAGAAAACTAGAGTAAATCCTTGTGGTTGTTATATGTGTGCCAAAGAATTCATATGCCCTTCATTCCTTCATAGGCAGATCACATCTCAGAAGCCATGTGAATTTAAACAGTATAGGCAATCCCTGATTTCTCTCAAAAGTGTTCAGAAACAAGTGTTAACAAAAACTGGAGATGGACCATATGAAAGTACAGTACGTGGGAAAGTCTTCATTTCCAGTGACATTCAAAGACATGAAGATACTCATACTGGGTGGCAACGCTATGAATATCAACAATGTGGTGAAGCCTCATCTTCTCCCACAGGTGTTCAAAGACACATGAGAACACACAGTGGAGGTAAACCTTTTCAATGTGAAGTATGTGGAAAAACCTTTCATTTCTCTTCTTTATTTAGAAGACACGAAAGAACTTATTCTGGAGAGAAACTCTGTGAATGTAAACAAGGTGGTCAATCCTTTATTTCACACTCAAGTCTTCAAAGGCACAAGATCCCACACAAGGGGAATGCACATTTCAAATGTAAGGTATGTGGAAAAGACTTTGCTTATCCCAGTTTACTTAGAATACATCAGAGAACACATACTGGAGAGAAGCCTTATGAATGTAAGCAGTGTGGGAAATCCTTTGCTAGATCCAGTAACTTTCACTCACATGAAAAAACTCATACTGGAGAAAAGCCCTATAAATGTAAGCAGTGTGGCAAAGCCTTTGCTAGATCCAGTAACCTTCAGATTCATGGAAGAACACATAGTGGAGAGAAGCCCTGTGAGTGTAAGCAGTGTGGAAAAGGCTTTACTCAGTCCTCTGACCTTCAGTCACATGAAAAAATTCATACTGGAGAGAAGCCCTATGAATGTAAGCAGAGTGGCAAAGTCTTTGCTACATCCAGTTACCTTCAGATTCATAGAAGAACACATACTGGAGACAAGCCCTATGAATGTAAGCAGTGTGGCAAAGCTTTTGCAAATTCCAATAACCTTCAGAGACATGGAAGAACACATACTGGAGAGAAGCCCTATGAATGTAAGCAGTGTGGCAAAGCCTTTGCTAGATTCAGTTACCTTCAGTCACATGAAAAAACTCATACTGGAGAGAAGCCCTATGAATGTAAGCAGTGTGGAAAAGCCTTTTCTACATCCAGTTACCTTCAGATTCATGGAAGAACACATATTGGAGAGAAGCCCTATGAGTGCCAGCAGTGTGGAAAAGCCTTCACTCAGTCCTCTGGCCTTTACTCACATGAAAAACTTCATACTGGATAGAAGCCCTATGAGTGTAAGCTTTGTGGCAAAGCCTTTGCTAGTTCCAGTGACCTTCAAAGATATGGAAGAACACATACTGGAGAGAAGCTCTATAATTGGAAGCAATGTGGAAAAGCCTTTGTTACATCTGTTCAGCTTCATTTACATGAAGGAACACATCATGCAGAGAAATTGTACTCATGAAAACAATTGGCAAAGTCTTCTGTTAATAAAGTTTCACTTTTAACATGTAGTCAGTTTTCTGTAGAAAAATTCTTTGAATGTGAAATGTGGGAAATCAGTATTGTCACAAAGAGAAGAAAGTACTACATATCAGAAACAATGAATCAATCTCTCTATCTATCTATTTATCTATCTATCTATAAATCATACTGGGGATTTAGTCTGAGGGCCCTCCATCACTGAGCCAGATTCCTTTTACTTTTTATTTTGAGACAGGGACTTGAGGAGTTCCTTAGTGTCTTCCTAAGTTGCCGAGTCTGGCTTCACATTTGTGATCCTTCTGCCTGAGCTCCCCAAGACTCTGGGATTAAGGGCATACATGACCACATCTAACTGAATAATGCTTTAAATGTAAAAAATTTGGAAAATCATTCAATTTTCCCTGGTGCCTTCAAAACCATTTCACTCACACTGGGGCAGGGGGGAATCCTCAGAATGTGGAGGATTGATACATCCTGTTAGCTTCCATCCCAGCCCTGCTTTCCTTCTCCTATATGAAAATACTCATGGAGAGACGCCCTGAGAATGTGATAAATGTGGGAAGTCTTCTAATTTTCCCACTTTTTTTCCAAGGACTGGGAAGATTCTTCTTGAAAGATTCATGTCAAAATGAATAAATTGTATGCAAATAAGAAATACAAAGGGCTCAGGTGTTCCAGTTTTGTTCAGTTGTATGAAAGGACTCAGACTGTAGAAAATCCTGTGGATAAGCCATGTGGGGCAGTATGCAGCTTTCACAGTTTCCTCCAAAGACATGAAAGGATTCACATCAGGGAAACCCTATTAAACAATGTGGTAGAACTTTCACCTTTCCAGGTTCTTTTTGAGTATCATGGGAGAACTCACTATGGAGAAAAGCCTTGTATATAAAAATGTGGTGAGACCTTCAGTTGTTCCAGTTTGTTTTAGACTTACTCATCAAACTTGAGGGAATTTTTTTTACTTTATTTTATTTTACTTGTTTTGGTACCAGGGATTCAGCTCAGAGACACTTAACCACTGAGCCACATCCCAGTTCTTTTTAATTTTTTTTTCAAATAGTTAGACATATTCTCACTGAATTGCTTAGGTCCTCACTATGTTGGGGAGGCTGACTTTGAACTTGTGATCCCCTATCTCAGCCCGGTTTTTCACTGGAATTAGTCATTCAACCCCTTCAGCAAGGAACATTTTTTTTTTTTTTTTCAGGAAACCACTGTATGTGTAAAAAGGGTGTGTGCCTTCATTTCTTTTTTGTCTATTTAGAGGTAATGAGGGTGCACCCTGGAGTGGATGTAGGGATTGTTTCAGCATGAAGATGTGAAAGCAACATGTTTCTCCCAGTTAAATATCTCTTCTTGTTAGATTTAATTTTTCTATATTTTAAGTTTTTTTTTTCATCTGTAGTCATCTCTCACATATTATGCCATAATAAACATTATCATCATCATCATCACCACCACCACCACCACCATTATCATCATATCTGGAGTACTTAGGCACTGATCACATCCCTAGATATTTTTATTTTTTAATTTTGTTTGAAGATCCTGGTAAATTCTTTTCAAGGGCCTCAGTATGTTGCTGAGGCTGGTCTTGAACTTGCGATCCTCATTCTATAACCACTGGGATTACAGACATGCTACCATGCCCAACTCCTGGATGTTTCTTGAAACCCTGATGTAAATCAAAATGTGCCTTTTTGTGTAGAATTTCCAAGTGTTAACTGGTTAAGAAGCAAGAATTACTTAACATACATAATGTGTTTATGTATATTAATGCCATTCAATTTCTAAGATTCTAGAATGATTCTGAGCATCATCAGAACATTAATTCACACCTTATACTCTAAATTTTTATTAGTCTGGTTGGACTAAACTGAAGTCCATTTGGAAAAAGTTTATTTTAGATAATTTTTGTTAAAAACAGGGTGGAAGGTCTGTTCAAATATTTAAGGGAACAGACTATTTCTATTAAGACCTTATGATAGGATGAAATTTAAGTAATCACAGTGTGTAATTATCAGATTTTTTAAAAACAATTTATTGTTCCCTCTGTGCACCAGGCATGAGCTAAACAACTTTGCAGAGTCACGGGGGCTATGGAACATTGCCTGGTGCTCATGTTCTCTAGAGCACAAGTGAAATGACAAAAGCAAACACCTGGGAGGTGAGTTTTGGCACCTACACATGCACACTCACACCCATGTGCACACACATACACGGGATCAAGTCACCTTTTTCTGTACATACCCTCCCTAGTGCAGTGCTTTCATCCTCACTGTGTCATGCAACTATTGATTTCTTTGACGTTTCTCACAATGTTGCTGCCCACTATTTTTTTTTTCTCAAAATCAATTGTTCTTTTCTGACTTCACAATTTAATTGTGTCTTTATAAAGTTTTATTACAGATTATGTATGTTAGTTGAGGCTTCTCCACTCCAGCCTTAAGTACAGATTGGTGAAATGTCTTTTCCTTTCCCCTTTGCTTCCTTCCCTCCTTCAGATTTCACCAGGAGTGCTCCACCACTGAGCTTCACCATAGCTCTTTTGTTGTTTTCTGAGATGGGTTGAGGCTGGCCCTGAACTTTTGCTCAGCCTGCCTCAGCCTTCTTGCAGCTGGACCATAGAATTGTGCCCTTGTGTGTCCTGCTGCTGGCCTCTTTCTTAATGCCTGTTCGGTCTGTGGATGACTCTGGGACCACCACTGTGTCACTCCTGCTTGTTCTAAGTCTCATGTGTTGTGTTGTATATAGGCACGTTAAAGAGCATTTAAAAAAATGTCATTTGTATTTATTGCTTCAAAAGGCACCTTCTCAAAATACTTGAGTTGCTTTCTTTCTCTTTCCCTTTTCTGGTGCCAGGGTCCCAATCCTGCCTTGTGCATGATAGGCAGGTGCTCTAACACCTAGCACTCCCCTATCTCAGGTGGTGAGTTTGCTGCTTCTGTGTGTGTGGACCCCATTACTGTCCATGTCAGTAGATGCAGCACTACAAGTCCTTATTTCACAGTTGCAGCTAGTCCCTTTCTTCTTGAAGGTTCTTGACATCAGTGAATTTTAAAAACTGACATCCACTTAGCTTCTCTCCTCATGATTAATATTAGGTGGAATATGCCAGAAAATCCAGGCTGGACTTCTCTCTGTGTTTAGGGTACCTCAGTAACCCTGAGAATATCATGTGATGATTTTTTTCCTACACAGTGTGTGACCAAAGGCAAGGTAAGGAGGGTCCCAGTCTGATGTCCTAAAGTAGTGGCACTCCCTTCTCCACCTCAGAATCTTAAATAAGCTTCTCCAGAGATTCTCACCATAGTTTTCTTTAAACACAATGTCAGGAAAACATTTTGCAAAGAACTCAAAGTGGGTTAGAACTCAGACTTGATGACCTTACTTCTCCTTTTCTGGTAATGCTTAGAAAACCTCTGACTAATCTCACAAATGGTACAAAAAGCACTTTCTGTGAACTAAAAAAGAAAAAAAAAACTTTATATAGACTCCTAGAAACAATGTACACCTCCACCCCCTCCCACTGGGTGTAAACAATGAAATTTCAAACTCGAGGTCCAGAAAATTTTAGGAATACCCCTCTAAGTCCTGCAGCTAGTAAGTTGGCTCCCTGAATATTCCCTGGGTGTCCAGCCTCATCTGCCCCACATCATTAATGGGACCTCCACTGGTAAAACATATCCCAGGTCATAGCCAGGAATTCTTGTTTGGAAATTATACAACAGGGTCTCTGGTGGGAATTCAGGAGCACTGAATTCAAGGTTTCCAGACACTTTAGAGCTGCAATCTTCTTACCCAGTGGTCATGGCCCTCGTGAAGTCCACAGTGGGTGCAGCACCCCGGACTTGGTCAGCACTCATGAGGGCAATACCATTCTCAACACTACAGCCAATAAATTCCCAGGAGTCCTGCTTTCCAGTGTTTGCCCTGTGCTGCAGGGGGTCCTGCATGTTGCCATAATCTTCTTGGTGTCCTTGCTATGCTCTGATGTGGTCATTCTACCAAGAAGGCCTGGAAACCACTGGACCTGGGATCTGGAGGCACTTGCACAGATGCCCATTTACTCTTGGCCTGATGACCTTCCTGTGCCACCACCACCCAGTCGTGTCTGGATCTGCTCTTCACTGTCACTTTCTTCCCTGCACTGCCTGAGCTCAGAGTCCCCTCATTCTCCACACTCACATTCATTTTCCTGGTGGCTTTGGTGATCACCAGGGACCATGCCCCCTATCGTGGGGCTCCTTCCATCCCTCTCTTTGCACAGGGTCACCCAGGTGTGTGCTGCAGGTATGGCATCTCCCCCTGCTGTGCTGCCTTGTTACACTAGGCCCCAGGGTCAACCTGGTGTGTGCCACAGGTGGGCATCCCCCCCTGTTCTGTGGAACCCTGGTATACTTGGCCCCTATCTCAGTATTCAGCCAAGAGAAGAAAGAGCTTATCCAGCAAGAACCTGCGTTCTGATCTGCTGCCAGCATGTGGTTTAAGTGACCTCCATTGACCTGTCCTTGGCCACTGTAGGGAAGACTCTGCAGGTGTACCTATTTGTATTTTGCTTCCTGAAACATGCCACCAGGAAGAACTGTGTCATCTCTGTGTGGCTGTGATTTATAATTTAAGGTTTTAGTCATAGTCTGAGGTAACTATAAAACCCATTCAGCCAAACATGAGTCCACCAAGTGGGAAAAGGGTTTGGGGATGCAGTGTTTTTGTTTTTGTTTTTTTCTCTCAATCATTTTTTGTTTGAATATTCCTTCTTTGGTGTTCCACATTAAGGCCTATTTTTGCTTTGACTTGGAATAATTTTTTGACAGCAATTTGCTTGTTTTGTCAGTGCCTAAAATATGCATGAGAATAGTAAAATAACCCCTGAATTTGCCAATCCCTAGAATTGATCCAAATAGCATTTGAAAAGGGTCTGCAGTACATGCTGTGAGAGGGCTATTTCTGCTTAGGCTAAGGGATTCACTCACCTGTCCTAAGGATTCAACGCATCCTGAGAAAAACCTCACCCACAACATATTCA